GGCGGAGGGAGGAGGGCGGAGGAGGGAGGAGGCGAGGGGAAGGACGGTGGAAGAGACGGGGAGAGGGAGGGGGAGGGGGAGGACGCCGGCCGAAGGCGAAGGCGGAAGTGGGCGGGAGGCGTATACAATCATCACGATGCCACGAGGAACGCTGAAAAAGGAACGAGGGAAGGTTTCTGGCCACGGCGAGCCTCGGCAAAGAATGAGTTGCCCGATCTAGATCTAAGGAACGGCCCGAAAACCAGAGCCCCTCCTGAGCTCAAAGTGGTCCTCGTGTCAGCGTCTTGACTGGAGGCAGGGAGGGAATGGGGGAGGGGCAAGCGGAGGAAAGGGGGAGCGAGCGAGGCGAAGGGGAAGGGAGAGAGGGGGATGGGGCAGGAGAGGGGGGGAGGGGAGCGGAGAAGAAGGCGGGAGGGAGGGGCAAGGGTCGGGAGGTGGAGGGAGAAGCAAAGGAGGAGGAGGAGGAGGGGGAGGAGGAGGAGGAGCAGGCCCAGGAGTTGAGCTGCAAATCTCTTTACGCGGTGGCCCCACAGGACCTCCACCCAAAAACCGCAACAGAGGACCTCGGGGGGGCGCAGCTGCAGGCAAGTGGGGGCGCAGATTCCAAGAGGGGCGAGTTGAAGCCCCCCGTCAGAGGTCGTATCCCCCACGCCCTCCCTCTTTCAGGCCCCCCTTTCGGGCTGGGAGTGGAACGTCCTCCTTCCCTCCAAACCCCTAGTGTCTGAGCCTCATACCCGAACCATAAGCCCGAACATTAAGTCTCTAATTCGAGCCTGACCCCCAAACCGTAACCCTACACGAAAGCCCTAACCCGACTACCCAAACCAGATCCCCATAGTCTCGCACACCCTCACCTGACCCCTCTAACCGACACCTACCCTCAACTCCCAACCCGACCCAACAGCCCATGCATTAAGCGTAAAACTGTGGCAGTGACCCTGAATATGTACACCCTGACCCTCACGCTGAACACTAGATATTCCGAACCCTCGGCACTACCGTAACCCCAACATCCAAACTCGAACACCCTAACACTAACCATTCACCATACCCTACGCACTAACACCCGAACCACGAACCGTCCTGATCCAACTCTTACACCCTAATAGGAACACCCAGAGATTCCCCATAAGCACTAATCCTAAGCACCCTGACCCTACCACAACACCCTAACCCTAAACCCGAATTCTAGCATGTCTCACAAACACGGCTCCTCTTCCTGAACCCTGGCACCTCACGTGTGAATACCCTATCCCTATCATCTTAGAACTAAGCGCGAAGCCAAACCCTAAAACCCTATTCATACACCCTAACCCTGACCCTGAGCACTAACCCTCGTCCCTGACATCGTAAGTCCTAGCTGTCTAACCAGAACTCCTGACCCTCACCCTGAGCACTAACCATTACTCCTGACACCCCCAACCCAAAACCCTAAACACGAAACAGAATCCTAAAACCCTGACCCTGAACACCCAAACACTAAGCCCTTACCAAAACACTAACCATAACCATAAGCCCGAACCGCAATCCCTGAGACCCTGACCCAATCCCCTTACCAGTAAACCTCAGCACAAACCCCAACCCTAACATCCTAAAACCCTGAAACAGAAAATCAGAAATCTGATCCTAAGCACGGACCTGAATCCTGGCCCCTGACCCTACACCCCAACATCCTCACCCTAAACCCCGAACCCGCTCAACGGGAGCCAAAGCGCGCCCGCCCCCTTCGCCGCCAAGGAGGGGGTGGTACCGCCCACCCCCCCTCGCCGACGCAGAGGGGGGATTCCTCCCCCCTGCCCTTCCTAAGGGGAGGGGGTGGGGGGGGGGAGGATGGAAAACAAACCCCTTGAAAAGCGGTGAGGGGGGATCGGTGGAGAAACCCCCCTTTTTACTCAGTGGGGCGTCCGCTGGCGCACCTGCCTAGTTTGAGCGCAACGTCAATCACTCTGACCCGGCTATTCGCCTGCGTGGCAGCGCGGGCACCGCGACTCCTATACGGACCAAGGAACGGGCCGACAAAGAAATGCGGGTCAGGCAAAGGGCAAAAACGGGCAGGAAAGCGAGGAGCCGAGGAGCGAGCCGATTGCTCGAGCCGGTTGCTCCTATGTTGCTGTCCCTTGCTTTCGTTCGCGGTGCGACTACCTGCTGTTATGTGGTTTGCTGCTGGTACGGTCAGGATTGTCTGCTTAGCGTGTCGGGGCGGTGGCCTCGGCGACACGCGCCCTGGAAGCGGACAGCGTGTCGCTGCGCTCCGCGGGACGAGTGGCTGGGAAAGGATCAGGACGTTGACGCTCGGGGACCAGGACGTGGTCAGCGTGTCGCGCCGAAGCGCGGTGGTCCAGAACCGGCAGCGGAACGCGCTATACACATGTTCCTGACCGTACATCCCAGAGACACGCGCCAAGTGCGTTGCAATACTGTTCAGGGCCTCCCAGAGCTACCCAGGGTATCCCAGAATCTCCCAGCGCCCTGGGCCTCCCAGGGACTCCAGGAGCCCACCAGAGCCTCCAGGGGGCATCCAGAGGCCCACGCTGCCATCATGGGGCCCAAAGATGACCTGAGAAGGGACCCAAGAGGGCCCCAACGCTGCCCCGAGATTACTCCACGATGCCCCCAAGATTGCGCACGATTGTAGAAGAAGCCCCGAACGTGGCCCAAAGATACCGCCGAGACAGCCCCGACACCCGTCTCGGAGGACCCCAGAAACCCCCCAAGTAAGAAAGCACAGCCACACATTCTACAGCAGCTTGGCCAAGCGTTGGCCCAACGTCTTGCCGAACATGGGCGTTTCCAGAGGGCAAAGGCGGCGGCGTTTTCGGTTGATCACGAGGACTCGTGGAACTGCGGGTGAGCATGTGGGGTTCGAGAACGCTGGTGGGTTCCCATCGGGAGGCCTGCCCGCCGCAGTCGTGCACGATCTGGCAGATCTCCTGGATGCCGTCCTCGAAGAACGCCCTGGTGGACGGGTAGGTAACCATCAGCGCAGCCAGGGTGTCCTTGAGGGTGGACCCAGAACTGAGGAAGGGGATTAACCGGGGCAGGAAGGGGGGGAGGGGATGGGAGGTAAACCAAAGGGAAAATGCATAATTAGGTGATGTGAGGGGAGGGTAAAGGGAAGTGGGGGAGCGGGAAAGGGGCAGTGGCAGGGTGCAGGGGGGAGGGGGGGAGGGGGAAATGTGAGAGGAAGGGAGGGGGTATGCAGGGGGATAAAAAGGGGGACGCGGGCTGGGGGAGGGGCGACGACGGGGATCAAGTTGAAGCTAAAAGAGCGCCTTCCCCCGTTTGGCCGACCCCCCTGGGCTACCCCTGGAGACCATCCTCCCACCCCTCTCCCCCCCTCCTATCCATTACCATCCCTATAGTCACTTCCTCTTTCGCCCCTCCCATCCCTTCCCCATCACTCCTCCCCTCCCCTTCCCCCGCCTTTTTTCATTGCCCTTCCTCTCCGCTGTCCTCCCTCATGGACGGAAGCTCATTTTCAAAACGTGGCTCTTGCCTAAATTGAAAGGCCATGGGGCGCTGGTTTTTTCCAAACGAGACACGTCCCGCAGTGAAAGGGACGTCTTGTCTGGGCTTGGGAGGAGGGGCCTTTGGGAAGGTTGACGTATAAAGAAGCGCTGGCGCACTTGGAGATTACTCTGGTCCTCTTCCTCCTGCTCCTCCTCCTCCTCCTCCTCCTCCTGTTCCTCCTCCTCCTCCTCCTCATCCTCCTCCTCTTCCTCCTCCTCCTCCTGCTCCTCCCCCTCCTCGTCTTGTTACTGACGTTTCCTCCGCACCCTCGTGCCCTTTTTTCTTCCTGGCCTCCCTCCTGCCGCGCGCCGCCCCCGCTCCTTGTGCTCCTCGCAGAGGGCCTTGAACTCGGCCAGGTCCATGCCCTTGTCGAGTCGGACGACGAGGGGTGGTAAAGAGAAGGTGGCAAATCAGCTCACGCAGTGTGATTCCCCCGGCACATCCCAGCGTCAGAGGCGCCCGTGTATATGAGGAAAGCGCCCAGCGGCGGGGGCCGAAACTAGCTGCATGCAGCAGACTTCCGTAAGCCCCCCCCGTCTCGTCCTCCCCGAGTGATCCACGCCGTCTGACTTTCGGTTCATAACTCAGGTCTCGAGCGGCCGTTCGGGACAATCGGGGCACCCCTGGAACGCCTTTGGCGAGGCGCAGCCACTGGAGAGCACCCCCAAGCTGGAGAACCACCGAGAGCCGGCGAAAACTCCCGGAAACCTCTGACCTCCACCCCCCTCCTCTCATCCGACCCGACCTTCGAGTCGTCGATCCACTTGATCTGCATATCGCACATGGCGGCCGACGCTGGGTTCGTGCCGTGAGCGGAGCGCGGGATGATGCAGACGTTCCGGTGGCCCTGCGCGGCGGGGGGGGCCCGAAGCAGCCCCGTGCTGGACGTCGGCCACTCCCCCCCACCCCCCGTCTGGGGAGGAGGGTGTTTTTTTGTTTGAGCTCCATGCCCAACTGATCGCAAGGCAAACAGCCACTCGCCAACTGCAACGCAGGGAGGGAGGCACAGCTGGCCAGGAGGAGGAGGAGGAGGACAAGGGTAAACCCAAGAGTCATCAACGATGTTGGAATTAATCCTCCCTCCAAGCTCCCTCTTCATAGGCCCCAAAAACGGTTCATTTCCATTGATGGGACTGCCTCGTTGGAAGACAACGTTTGAAGATCCTGAAGTATGCCCAAACATTGTTCTCGGGACTTCAACGCCACGTATCAGACTGATTGCTGCGTCTAAACGATCTGGAATCGTGCCAAACGCCATGTTTGGAACTTCAACACCGCGGATCAACATAACTGTTTGCATAGTGTGAATCCTGAATCCTTCCGAAACACCATTCATGGTACGCTGATCATGGTAATCCTTGAAACTCTTACAACTGTTTAAAACGAATGTGCGCGGCGCTAAGGCGAGAGCCACATGTTGAAAACCCCCTGCCCTCAATCCGTGTAACCCTTGCCAAATTTTAAAAACGAATGTGCGCGGCGCTGAGGCGATGGCCAAATTATGAAAACCACCCACCCTCAATTCGCGAAACTCTTGCAAATGCTTAAAACGAATGTGCGCGGCGCTAGGGCGAGAGCCACATTTTGAAAACGAACCACCCTCCATCTGTGAAGCTGTTGTCACGTTTGAATCTTCAGGGTCATAAATGGTGCGGAAGTCTCAGGCGAAACGCCCGGCCCGCCCTAAAAACTGGGCTCGGGGTGCGACAGGGAGAAATCATATATTTATAAATATATATATATATATATGGAGAAAGAATGGAGGAGGGAGAGGAGGAGGAGGAGTAGGGGGATGATAATGAGGAGGAGGAGGAGGAGGAGGAGGAGGAGAGAGGGGAGGAGGACGAGGAGAGGACGAGGAGGAGGAAGCGCGCGGGGGGAGCAGCGGGAGCAGCGGGAGCGAGGGTGGAGGAGCCGGCGTGGGAACGAGGAATGGGCGAGGAAAGAGGAGAGGAGAGGAGAAGAGGAGAGGAGAGGAGGAGAGGAAGGAAGAGAGGATGAAGAGAGGAGGAGGTCCCGCGCGGTGAGAGGGACGCCCGAATCGACGAGCGCGCCCACAGCAAGGAGGAGGAGGAGGAGGGACGACGACGAGAGGCGAGGAGGAGGAGGAGGAGAGGAGGAGAAAGAGAAGGAGAGAGAGAGGAAGAGGAGAGGGAGGGAGGGGAGGGAGGAGGGAGGGAGGGAGGGAGGGAGGGAGGGAGGGAGGGAGGGAGGGAGGGAGGAGGAGGAGGAGAAGAAGAAGGAAGGGGAGGAGGAGGAGGAGGAGGAGGAGGAGGAGGAGGAGGAGGAGGAGGAGAAAGATGAGGAGGAGGAGGAGGAGGAGGGAGGACGAATATTATTCGTATTATTGTGAACACGAATAGTATCATCATCATTCGCAGTAGTATTGTTATTATCCTCCTCCTCCTCCTCCTCCTCCGCCTCCTCCTCCGCCCCACGAGGCGCCTCGCCCTTCGACTCCAGGTACTTGCGGATCACGAGGAGGCCAGCATACTCGCCTCGGGTGCTTGCCAGATGGTTCCAGTGACCCCGGGCAAGAGCGACCTCTGGTGCGCAGCGTTGGGGGGCCGCGGGGAGGGGGGAGGGGAAGGGTGGGGCGGGGGCAAATCCATGCAATACGCGCGCGCCAACCAATGCTGACGAGATCCCTGTGGTTCTGCACCAGAAAGGTCACTCTGGCGCACGGTCACTCTTACGCGTGGCCGACACAAGGTGCCCCTGGCCCGAGGTGTCCCCAGCCTTCCCGCGGCACTCGGGAGCCCCCCTTGGAGGATCAGTCAGCTCTAGCACAGAATCGGGAAGTCGGATCGGATCGGAATGAGCTTCGGATCGGGCCGCATCTACTCGGAGCCGAGATCGAATCGGATCGGCCGCGCCAGGATGAACAACAACGTCACGCAAGCATCGGGCCTCATCAGATCGTCGGAATGTCGGAATCGAGTCGGATCGAGCTGGTCAGAATCGATATCGAATCGGACCGATCGGATCGAAATTGAACCTGCCTGGGGCCATCTGGGCGACGAGAAGAAACTGGTCCTACGCGAGAAGACATAGCGACCTTACGCCGCGGCTCACGCGGGCCGCCAGCGTAGCTCACAGCGTGGAGGAGAGGATGCTCACGCGGGAAGCTTACACGCGAATGTCCGCGACATGGACCCTCGCGAGGGGTGTCCTCCCCGGGGGGCACCCCAGGCCAGGGGCATTTTTGGCGACGCCAGATGAGGGAAGGGTAGCGGCATCGGTAACTTTCCCTCCTCTGAGATCGCCGCTGGCGCCGCTGGTGGGCTGGAGGGAGGTGGCGTCGAAGCCCGTGCACTCGTTGAGCTGCTGCTCAAGCGACTCCAGCATCTCGCGGTAGCCCTGGCGGCGGCGGGCCCCCATTCCGAGAGGGAGCCCCCGCCCGCGGCGGCTAGCCTCCGGCATGCAGAGGAGGGCAGCCGCTCGCGGTGTTGATGATGCGACGCGCGGCTCCGCTGTGCGCGCGCTTCAAGTGCTAGTGCGGCCCCGCAGCAGGCGGTCGACGCCACCGCTGGAGGCCGGCGCGAAGGGGGAAGCGACAGTGCTGAAGGCCGAACCGGAAAAGTCCCACCAAATAAAGTGCTGGCTCGCACGGCAAAAACTGCCTTTGACTGCGATGCCGTCGCTTCTGTCCCTGGACGTTGTCGGATCCATCGGACCCGCGGCGTTTCCATTGTTGGACGGACGGGAATAGCGGAAGGGGATGAGGGGAGACGACACATGGGGGGCTGGCCCACGGGGGAAAACCTTGACATTGGAATCGGCGACGATGCATCGCCGACAGATCGGCGACAGGCCCTGATGACGAAGCCAGGCGCTCCTGGGCGACGTGGACGGGCCCAAGCCCCAAATGCGCGAGTGGAGGTTCGAATCGGATCGATCGGACCGACATGGACCTCGGCGGGGGCTCTCAGCGGGGCTTGTTGGGACCAGAACTCGGGCCTCAGGCCGTCGTGTCGGACGATTCTGGCATCCCCAGAACGCTCTCCACGAGACGCACCTGATGAGAGCCACCCCTGGTGCCGAAAACCTCCGACAATACGACTTCCGAAAACCTCCCGAAACGACGACGACGACGACGACGACGACGACGACGACGACGACGACAACTGGAAGTCTCCCCCTGGGTCAGTCCTCCCCCCCTGTCGGCACACCTGAAGTTAGGAGGCAATTTAATGGAGGTCGTCATCAGAAAGATGAAAGGCGATCAAGCCCGATAAAGAAGCCAATGAACACCACCGGGCTAGATTAAGCCCAGGATAAAGCGGGACCACACGGGATGAATGGGGAAACCAAAAGGTACCGACACCGCTCCTCCCTGGAGGTTTCCCGCGGCGCGTTCTGACCAAGATTTCGAGGCGAACCCAGCGGTGGCGAAGAGGGCTTCCCAGGAAACCCAAAAATGAGAAAACGAGGCAAGGGTAGCGGTATGAGTACCCACCGGTCGGAAGAAGTAGGCAGAGACATGAAGTAGGAAGGCGTTGGAAGTAGGTTGGGTGTCCGCCCGCCCCCTGAAGGGGAGGGAGGAGTGGAAGCCACTCGATCATTGAAGTAGGAAGGCGCTTAAAGCAGATTGGAACCTGGGAATCAAAAAATACCTACTTTCAAAAACCGATGGGCACCTTCTCCTGACTGAAATCTTTAACATGGGATGTGCCAGCGCAGACTTTGAGGTTCAGCCTCCCAGGAATGGCCTCCGAGGGGAGCGGTGGCGGCGGCGGGCAGGAGCGTCGCGGGCGGCCCGCGTGCCCGACGGGGCGAGCGGCAGCAGGGGGAGCAGCGGGGGGGGCCAGCACTCGCGCACGATCGTCGTCCGCCTTTCGCGAGCCTCGCGTCTGACGGGAGGTAACGCGGCCGCCTCTTCGTGAGTGACCAGGCCGGCCCGCATCTGCGAGGCCAACGGCAGGCGAGGCGGCACGTTGGATGACCAGCGACTCGGAGGGTGGGCGAAGGAGAAACGCCAAAGCGGGGAGGGCGGGAGGATCTGATCTGCAGACTCGCGGAGACCAGGTCAAGCCCGGGCACGCTTCGCTTCACAGCTCAAGCCTGCGGGAACTGTTCCGCCACTTCTGGGGGGCAGCCTCCCCGCCAGCCTGGACGGGACCTCCTTCCCTGCTTCGAGGGCGGTCAGTCTTGCGAGGTTGGGCAAGACTCTGAACATTCACACAGTGCATGGGCACCACAAGTGCTCACAACAGATGGCACCGCGCGGGACATTCAATCGGCGATTGCTGGCACACCCAAGATACAAAGGGCGGGCGAGCGGGTCGGAGGAGAGGCGAGTGGGGCCGCGACAGGGACCTGGGGCAAAAGTCCTGGGCCTGGCCACGCAAGCTGAACTTACGAGCACAAATCTGGCAATACAGGAACAAGCCTGCACGACAGGGCCCATGGCCAGCATTCCGCAACCTTTGCTCCCGAAGGAGGAAGGACGGAAGGGCGAGGGGGCGCGGAGGCGGGCGGCCGAGCCTGTCAGCACCACCTCCTAGTGGACAGCCGTCAGGCGATCCAGGGTGTGAGAGGTGAGCCGATCAACAGAATGAGCGAGGTCTGATTTCTGGAGCGCGGGGGAGGCTCCACCAGCAGCCCAAACCGCAAAAGAATCAGCACAACAGTTCAGGATCAAGAGCCTCTCATCCCCCCTCTGCCAGGCCGCGGAACGACTCCTAGCCCAGAGCAAACGCTGGGTAGAGCAATACGTAGCTATTCGAGAACCCGGCTAAACGCCCCACCCCCCAATGCGGAAACGAAACGGCGAAGGTGAGTCCCTCAACCGAAGAACCGAAGAGCGGGCCACATTGGAGGAGGAGGTGGCGGATGAGAAGGAGGATGAACAGGAGGAGGTTGTGGACGCCCAAGATGAATACGAAGAAAATGGGAACGATGCCCAACAACAAATGCTGTCCAAAACCGACAGCGGCCGCTGTTGGGCAGGCCGCTGTCCGTCTCCAGTGGACAACGACCGCGGCGACGCCAAAGGCGAACCCTGTTCAGAATGAACCAGAACTGCTGTTGGTCTTCGGACCCATTCTTTCCGCACCACTTTCGATCGTACCGAGTGGCGGATGAGACGGAGGATGAACAAGAGGAGGTGGAGAGGGGACAGGGAAGGGGAGGAGGGGCTTGGGGCGCCGGCGGGCCCAGGGGCCACGGGCCTGCGTCTGGCTGTGCGGGGCGAACGGGTGCATGTTCCCAACCTCGGGCCCCCCCAACCAAAAAACACCCTCAGCTCATCCGCCCCCTCGCGCCCTCCCCCGAAACACAAAAAAAAAAAACAGCTCCCTTCCCTCATCCTCCGCCTCCTCCACCTCCTCCTCCACCCCCCTCACTCCCTCACTCCCTCGTTCCCTCCTCGTCCTCGTCCTCGTCCTCGTCCTCTGTCGCGTCCTCCTCCTTCTCCTCCTCCTCCTCCTCCACCTCCTCCCCCTCCTCCTCCACCTCCTCCTCCTCCTCCTCCTCCTCCATTCCTTTTCCTTATATATATATAATATAACATACATATATATATATATATATATATATTTAACTTCTCCCTGTCGCACCTCGAGGCTAGTTTTTAAGGGGATCCGGGCGTTTCGCCTGACTTCCTCACCGCTTACGACCCTGAAGCTTAAAACTTGACAACAGCTTCACAGATGGAGGGCGAACCGTTTTCCAAGTTTGGTTCTCGCTTCAGCGCCGCGCACATTCGATTAAACAAATTGCCAGCGTTTCACGGATTGAGGGCGGGTCGTTTTCAAAATGGGGCTCTCGCCTGAGCGCCGCGCACATTCGTTCTAACAGTTAGCAAGAACTTCACGGATTGAGGGCGGTTTCTTTTCAAAATATGGCTCTCGCCTTAGAGCCGCGCACATTCGTTATAAAAATTGCAAGAGCTTCACGGATTGACGGCGGATCCTTCTCGAAATGTGGATCTCGCCTCAGCGACGCGCGCATTCGTTTTTTTCCAAATTGCAAGAACTTAACGGAATCCCATGATCAGCGTACCAGAAATGGTATGTTGGAAGGATTCATGATTATGAGGGTGCAACAGTTGCGTTGGCTCGCGGTGTTGAAGTCTCAGGAATGGTGTTCTCTCACATTCAGGATCGTCAAAGACGCAACAGTTAAGTTGATCCGTGCCGTCGGGATCCATAGAACGGTGTTTGGGCATGCATCAGGGTCTTCAAACGGTTGCTTTCCAACGAGGCGGTTCCCTGAGTGGAAATGAACCATGGTAGGGGCCTACGAAGAGGGAGCTTGAAGGGAGGGTTTTTCCAACATCGTTGATGACTCTTGGGTTTACACTGGTCCTCCTCCTCCTCATCATCATCATCATCTTCCTCCTCGCCATTTCGCGCCCAGGCGCCCCCCCCCCCACCCCACCCCTGCACGGGGCGCAAGAGGGTATTCTGGAGCGCAAACCCCGAAATTGCGATGCGCTCAGGAGCCGTCATGAAGAAACGCGGAGCCCAACGTCATCAGCTACCATGCTGAGACCAGGCACACGTGCAGTCTCCAGGACCCGCGCCGTCGTCTCGCCCCATCCTGTGTCTCCCTCCCCCACCCTCGTCACCCTGGCGAGCAGCAGCGCCAGCCACAGGGGCGCGGCTGCAAGAATGCAAGCAGATGGCTGCGGCTTGCGGGCCCCCCCCCCCCCCCGGCGAGCCGCGTGAGAGCCCGCGCGGGCCAACGTCATCAGCTACGGGGCTGGAACCAGCTCGTGCGGGCGAGAGCGCAGAGCAGTGGCAGCAACCTCTGTCGCTAATCATCAAGGTGGAAGGCGAAGCGCAAACCCGATGTCATCAGCTACAGCGCTGGGACCAGGGCGTGCGAGGGCGAAGGGCGGCAGGCGGCTCGGGCATCACTCTGCGAGAAGCGGGAGGCAAAGCTGGAGCCCAATGCCGTGCAGCGGGCGACAAATCAGCTACAACGGACGGAACAGCTCGTGAGAGAAGGGCAGCAGCGAACGACTTAGCAGCCACAACGCTGGGAGAGCCCGATGTCATCAGCCACAGCGCTGGTGTCAGGGCCTGCGAGAGGGGCGAGGCGAGGGTGGGCCAGGATCACCCACAAGGCTGGAAGCAGCCCGTGCGAGCAAGACGGCATGCAGTAGCAGCAGGCGCCGGCACTGCGAGAAGCGTGCGGGTGGGCCACGATCAGCCACAGGTGGGGAGCAGCCCGTACGAACAAGAAGGCACGCAGTGGCAGCAGGCGCTGGTACTGCGAGAAGCGTGCAGGTGGGCCACGATCAGCCACAAGGCTGCGAGCAGCCCGTGCGAGAAGGGCACGCAGTGGCAGCAGGTTCTGGCACTGCGAGACGGGGGCAAGTGCAGGAGCGGACGTCATCAGTTACAACGCTGGGATCAGCTCGTGTGCGAAGGCATGCATTGGCAGTAGGAGATGGCAATGCGGAGTGGGAAAGCAGTGGCAGCAGCTTCTGGCACGGCTCGAACACGATAGTTGCAAGAGCGAAAATCATCAGCTCTACCCCTTGGGAACAGCTCGTGCGCGAAATGGCCAGGGGAGCAGTTATGCACAGCAGGGCAGCAAAGCTGGGACGCACGCCATCAGCTTCAACGCAGGCTCCGACAGCATTATGAGAGAAGCCGGAGGCGAAGTTAGAGCCCGATATCACCACCTACAGCGCTAGGAAAGCTACAACTGAAGAATGTGGCCAGAGGGAGCTCGTGCGAGAAACATCTCGTATCACTGACCAGCATGCAGAACGTTTTCATCCATGTTTTTCATACGCAGGGTCGCGCGGCCCGCTGCCAACAATGCGGCCTGTTCTGCACGGGATGTGCTTCGCCTGGATGGCCGCGACCCAACGCCGCCGCCGTCGGACGAGTTCCCCACACCGTGGCAAAGATGTCATCTCTGCCACAGTGCAGGGAACAAGTCGTGCGTGCAGGTGCCTGTGGGATCGGATCATGTTCTCACCTGCTGTGCGGGGGTCGGGTCGTGCGAGAACCACAGGCAGTGGCAGCAGGCTCTGTTGCCGTAGGGGGACGGACGAGTCAATGCTGTCAGCTACAATGCAGAGACAAACTCGCGCCTGAACATGTCTTCCTGCCAAGTCTGTTGACGCGGGGCCTATAAAGGCAAAAACAAGCCCCAAAGGGCTCAGACCCCACTGAGGGGCCAAAGCCACGAGGGGCCATCCCAAGACAGGGGGCGGGCCACAAGGGATCCCGAGAGCCCAGACGAGCCGCAGCAGGCGGCCACCAGGGCACATCGGCCCCGAGGCACCGCTCGGCCTGTCAGCTCAAACCCCCGTCGAGGGGTATCAGCGCGAAGCGCTGGAATATATATATATATATATATATATATATATATATACATACATACATACAGCAGTGCAGACACGCGACGGGCGACGCCCCAAACATGCTTGCACAGCCCCAAGCGGCACGGCGAGGAGGGCGAGGCGCAGAAGGCATCGCGCCGACACGCCGAGGCCCGCGGCCACAAGGGGTCCAAGGGGACGGGCAGACAAGAGACGGACGCGGAGGGAGGACAGGAGGAGAGGCAGGCTGGCGCTCCACAGCCAGGAGCGCCCAAGGCTCGGCCCACGCACGTTCACGCGGCCCGAGCGCCCCAAGGCTGGGGCCAGCGCGGACTCAATCTCCTTCATGACGGTCATCTCTGCGCCTCTTCCTGCTCTGGCGCTCACGACGGGCCCCGTCGGCCTCCTCAGCCCAGCTCAGCAGGCTCTCCTCGTCGAGGCCGTAAGCATCCAGCCAGGCCTGCCGCGATCCCGCTCCTGCCGCGGCGACGCCAGCCCCAGCGGGCAGCTCTGACGAGGAGGAGGCCGCGGCGCCAGCGCCGCCCCGAGCAGCGTCTGCCGCCGAGGCGCTGCCCTCGACTCCTGCTGGGGCATCAGGCTGGACTCCGAGCCACTTCAGGAAGCGCACCCTGGCGTCCAGCGGCACCTCAGCCTCCTTGCGAAGGCGGGGGGCCTCCGCCCCCTTCCTCCGCGTGTCGCGGGCGTGTGGCGTGCCCCCAGGGTGGAGGCCACGCTCCCGCCGCGACTTCTGGTCCCGCAGCGACCTGGGAAGGCCCGTTGAGCCAGGACAGCGCTCCCTGAGCTTGGGCTGCGGGCCAGGGCGTGCGCCAAGCCTCGCATACGCTCCGCACCTGGTGCACGCAATGATCTCCTGCTGGTCGCCGTCCTCACCGCACCTGGCGCACGCGAGGGCGTGCCCCGCGACGGCGAAGACCAGGGCGCCCAGCGCTACTCCTCCGTCGCGCGCTGCCGAAGCCCAGGCGCCGACAGCAGCGGGGCGGCCGCCAGCCTGTTCCCCTCGGGCCCCCACGGCGGCGGGCGGGGCCCCCAATCCGTTCGCGGGAGCCGCCCGCGGGCCGTCAGCACACTCCTCCAGCGGGACCGCGAAGGTGACAGCAGTCCTCCGCTCGTCGCCCTCAGGAAGGCCCTCGCAGTCCTTGGAGCCCCTGTCCTGCCAGACGATCGAGGCCTGCGCGATCCACCTGGAGAGCTCTCTCACGACCTCCATCGCGCCGAAGAACTCCCGCCTGGCCGCCGCGCTGACCCTGTGGAGGGCCGCCCCCGCCTTCGCCGACCTGCCGGCGTGGCCGTTCCCAAGCAACTGAAACTCAGAGATCCTGCCCTCGCGAACATCGATCTCGGTGCAGTGGGCCGCCACCTTGTTCACAATGAGCGAGTCGACGTCCAGCGAGGCGTAGACGGCCGACCACAGGTGTGCATTGGGCTTGTTGGCAGCCGTCGCAAACTTCCTGCCAAGCTTCAAGCAGCTGACTGTGGACGCGCAGTCGATGTTGATCTCGATGATCGAGGGCCCGGGATAGCGGCTCAGCATCCAGACCGCGAAGTCCTCGCCGTCCTTCGCCGTCTGGAAGGGGCACAGGTCGAGGCGGACCGTGCCGTACACAGCCGCCTCCAAGTTGCCGAACTCGTCGCACTGCACGATACTCCAGCCAGCCCTACGAATGCACTCGAACTCAGGGTCGAGCGCCGAGCCGTCGAGGAAGAGGCGGCCGCCTAGCAGCCCGTCGGCTGGCCTATTCACCCACATGACTGCCATAGCGTCCGACCTCCAGGCCGTCTGCGGGGGCTGCGGCAGCCAGCACCTGGAGAAGCACTCCCCCGCTTCCTCACCTCGCTGCCTCACTCTGGTGGCGCAGCGGAGGAGGCGGGCTGACACCGAGTCCCTCCTCTCAGCGGCCAGGGCTTGGC